CTCCGGTGATCCACGACGCGCGTTCCCATCACATACGCACAACCGTCGAATTAGACTGTAATATTCGCGGTCGTATTTCCGAGGCACAACGTTCTTCTTTGTATGGACGTTGCGTTATTATGTAATGGATCGCAAGTATACGAACGCTCACGTACACTTGTAATTAGCAAACTACTGAGATGACAAATTTTATTTCTTTGTTCTCGTAATTGCTAGACTGAATGCGAAAATAGAGGAAATACGTAATGTAATGTGCTCCTTGTGTAATAATTTAAAGGACAAAGTCTCTCCTAAAGTCTTTAAAATATCTAAATTTAGACTTTATAAGGTGAAGTCTCTATTTTCTTTCGTGATTATTGATGCATTTACGGGAAAATATACAGAATCCAAGTAATATGCAAAAATGTAGAAAATATTCAAAGTAAAGTAATATTAAATGCATAAAGAGAATATACGTTCATTCATACTTGTACTGCAGATTTTTATGCAAGCTTTGAAAATATAATGAAAAGAATAGAATTGTTGATACGCTTACTCTTAAAAATTTTCTGTGAATGCATAAAAATTCAGAAATCTAGAAATGAGTTTCCCTTTTAGTCGCCTTTTACGACACGCAGGGTCTATACATTGGGTCTATTTTACCCCCATAGAGCGAAAATAAATCTTCAAATTCTACACATTTCTGAAAAAAAAAAAAAAAAAAATTTTGCGAAAGAAAATGCTTCTAAAATTCTTCTAAAGATTAAATCTCTGTATCATCATATAACTAGAAAGTTATTTTATACATATTCGTATTTTGAGAATTTTACTATAAATGTACGCAATCTATTCATAAACGTTGCGTTCATTTTTAACTCAATTCTTTCTTCTACAATTTCTTGCAAGAAAAACATAGAAACCACACAGTCAGTCATTTGATTTTTCTTAACTTTTGAATAACTAAGAAATTTTAATTCTAATACGAGTACAAAGGTACTGCTTTGTACTGATAAAAATGTGCAATTTTTTAAAACTATATTAGAAATTCAAGATGTTTTATATAAAATTCAAGTAATATGTAACAGTGATATCCAGTAATAGCAAGAACAATTTACTCATGAAACTAACCAACAGGGTATTGAACTTTATATTTTTTTTTTCTTTTTTTTATAAAATATTTATATAAAGTATTCTTCTTGCTATATATGATAAATTCTAGGTATTATTTCGCTAGCACAACATCATTTCCGCCAGACTATGATTTCATTCGCGAGAATTTTTCAACTTTTGAAGAGGTTTTGCACATTTTGTTCGGAAAGGAGCGTGCGTGTTTATGGTTTCCACGAAAGCATTGCAATCAACCCTTTTCTGATGACCCCTTTTTTCTTCCGCGGATTAAAAGCGGCGTTTCATTTCGTAAAGCTATTCCTAGAATCACATCGAACTCGTCTGCGAATAGATGCTTCGAGAGATCAAGTCGTTGGAACGAATTCAGAAATCGTATCAAGAAAAAGGTTACGAAATAACTGCCCATCTAGAAATAGTAGACAAGAGAACATATTACATATATAATAAGGAAGAAAAATAAAAAGTGCTACAGCCATGACTAACTCGGTCCATTCAAATCTAAGATTAAATTACTTAATTTAGAAGTTTTCAATTTAACTGAATTTTATCAGAAAGTGCGAAATAAAAAATCCAATGGGAATTTCTACAGACGTCTGCAACAACGCTAACGAGGCCACTTGAGGATCAAAAATCTATCAGGCCATTTGCTTTTCGTTACAATTTGCAGTTTGCTGTTCTTTCAATTGCCACTTTTTTTTT